AAAAGAAACAGATATTTAAAAAACTACAACTCGGATACCTTGTACTGTAGGATTGTAATAGATGTTTAAAGCAGGGTTAGATTCTAAATAACGGCCATTTTTTCTGCCTTTTCTTTGCCATCCCACAGAACTCTTCTCAATCTGCCAATTTAAAATGAAAAGCACTTTACTCACTGGCAAACCTACAGAGATGTTGTCAACTACCTAAACTGACATGTATCATGCTGAGTCTAGTGGAGCTGGAGTAATCTATCTATCCACCTGAGCCATACAGATACAGGTAAACTCTTAGCAGGTAAATTGTTCAGTTATCAAACTTTTTTCTTGCTTGATATCATCGATCACCTAATTGAATGGAATTTTCATTTTTTGGGGGTTAAGAAAAGATCCAAGACTTGATGAGAAGCATTCCTTGAACTCCAGTCAGCCTCGACACATGGTCACTTACACTGAGCCTGGATCTGCTGGAGGTTTCTTTCTGTTTAAAGGGAGGTTTCCCCTACACTGTCGCTACAAAGATGCTGGGAATGCCCAGGCCAGGTTAGAAACTTCTTGTAGTGTTTGGCTTATCTGCGATCAGGGGGCGGCTGTCTCAGCAGAGAAGCGTAGATTTTCCTCACCCTCGACACCTCTTCCAGCTCCTCTTGGGGAAGCGTTTCAATGACAGACGAGAGACTTATTCCCCACAGAGTGTCCTGGGCAATACCCTGTGTCTCCTCTTAGTGGGGCGTGCCTGTAGCACCTCCCATACGGGGCTTCTAGGGTCATCTGAGACAGAAGTCTAAGCCACCACAGCTTTCTCCGTTTGATGCGTATAGGAAAATAGGCTCTTCCATCCAGGAGCCTCTTCTCTGGCTGAACTTCTCATCCTATCTGTAGAGTCCCTGCCTCTGCGCAGAGGAAGCTAATTTCAGCGGCTTATATTGAAGATCTTTTGGTTATGACATAAACGTCTTAAACAGAGGTGGGGGTAGAAGCATACACTTAACAGGAAACTGTAAGTTTTTTACCTTTCAGATCATCTCCCTTTTCAACACTGCAGACTGGTGAATATCTGCTTTTGGTTGCGTCCACACGGATCCATTTGTTGTTCTACCACCCCATTCTCTACTCACCTGCAAACAGGATCCCAAGATATTTGAAATCCTTCATGTGACGCAGGATCTCTCCTCCAATTTGAAGAGGGAAAGCCACCCTTTTCTGGAGGAGAATGATGGTCATGGCGAATCTGATTTTTCTCTCTGGCTTTTCGCAATTGATTGCAATCTGTCCAAGTGCATGCTGTTTAGCAGAAAGGAGCCACCGGCACCAAAAGCAGGGACAAAATACGCTGCCCCCAAAACCAGACCCCCTCCAGCCCTTGGTTGTGCCAAGAAATCCTGTCATAAAGGTAACTAGAAGAACGGTGACAGAGGGCAGGCCTGCTGGAGTCCAACATGCACTGGAAATGGGTCCTATTGCCTACAGTGCAGACAAGACTCCTAGCTCTGTAAAGACTAGGAGATATCGGGTCTCTTTGAAGGGCCCTTTATTCTGTCCTCCTGCAGCACCCTCCACAGGGCACCACAAGGGAAACGGTGCACGATTTCTTTCGCCAGCCATATAAAGCATTTTTGGATTGCTTTGGCAAATTCCCAGGAAACCTCAAGCTCCTGGTCAAGGGTGTAGAGCTGGTCCAGTGTTCCACCCGCAGGAAGAAAGCAGCACTCCTCCAGATGCCAAGGTTCATACTCAGCTGGACTGTCCTCTCCAACACTGTCAGGCAACCCTTCCCAGGGAAGCTGAGAAGTATAATCCCCTACGGTTGGAACACACCTCAAGCATCAGCCCATTCTCCCAGCCCAAAGGTGCTGTCTTCAGTTGCCACTTAATGTTGAAAAAGTGTGTCAGCCTGGATAGCCAAAAGGCATCCAGAGACCTGACATATTCAGGGCGGATCTTATCCACCCTTAAAGTATTGCCAATGTTTAGTTTTTCTATCACCTTGGTAAATTTAGCTTTTGTGACGAACAAGCGCTACTCCGATCATCCAGTCTCTTGCTCCACCATGGAACAGGATGAGGAGACCCTTAAAGTTTTTCTTCCGCCATCTGACAGTGTCCTCAGTCAAGGTCAGCAGTTCCCCACTCTCTCTGTAAACAGTATTAGTGCAGCACAGCTTCTCCCTCCGGACATTCTGAACGGTTTGCCAAAAATCATTTAGAGGCTGACTGATGGTCCTATTCCATTGCTTCAGTGAACTCTTCTCAGACCCAAGTTTTTTTTCCCCATTATGAATTAAAGCAGTGGTCTTCAAAGTTTTCCAGACCAAGGGCCCCCAAACTGATGGCGAGATGGAGCGGGGACCCCTTAATTATATATATTGTATGAAATTTTGTTATATCAAACTGGTCTTAAAGTCACTCTATACTAACTTTTGCGACCCCCATGCGGTACCTCTGTAGACCCCCTAGGTCCCCGGACCCCCTGTTGAAAACCTCCGAATTAAAGCATTAGGGGTTTATGTAAAAGCAACCATCAATAAACCATACTAGGAAATGATTGAGATCAAATTAAACAAAATATGCAAACCAAAATTAAGGCACTTCATAGGAACTGCACACTACAAGGACAGTGCTAGTTAAAGGAAAAGTAAGCAACAAAATCCAAAATGGGAAAGTTGTGAAAGCTTAATTAAACTTTGCTATTTCTTTTAATTGGGTAATGTTTTTATTCACCACTCCAAACTAGGGTTGGCATCTGAACAATAAATAAGAGGGGCCCCAAGATGGACCTTTGGGGAACCCCATATATGATTTTGTGGTGTCTGATCTAGAATCACCTACTGACACAAGAAGTCCCTGTCCTTCAACAAGGATTTAAACCAGTTCAGTGCTGTAATAGAAATTCCAACTCACTTTCCAGACACTATAATATAACAGTGCTCAACAACAGTGTTACAGTAAATGCTGCACTACTATGATCCAATAATACCAGCACCGAGGTTCTACCACAGTCTACATTTATACAGATGTCACTAAACACCTTGACAACAGTAGTCACTGTATTTTAGTGATGCCAAAAACTTGAATATGGGATGGGTTCCTGTGCACTGCAAATACATCAATACAGACCTGAAAAATAATAAGTAAGCAATAAAATAATAAATAAACTAAGAAATTAGTGGCAATGAAGGGCCACAAAGAAATGGTATGAAAGAATTATTGTAAATAACTAAATACTGAAATACTCAAATCCAAGGCATTTCAGACACAAAGAAATGATTATTCAAATAATATGCTGATTAATTATTCTATTAGGTGTTACAATTAGTACTACCAATAATATAACAAAAACAAACAGCATTACTGCAAAAACTAATAATATTTCGAATTACATCCACTAATCTTATAATTAACTTGTGCAACTATTATCAAACAAGATAAAGTAACATTATCAAGTATAGAATCCCCCCAGCATCTACCACCGCTCCCCCAATCCTACACCGCTGATCCCTATCTGTATCCCCATCTTTATCCACATTCTGAACATTCAAAACTCTTTGGTTCCTGCTAACAATTCTTTAAACCTAAACTTAAGCACCATTTCTATTTCTATTTTTCCTTATCCATCTACTTCTTGGAATGTAAATGTTTGTTATATGTTGCATCATGTAGGCAACTGTATATCTTTATTCATTCATGCAGCCTCTTGTCATGTTATTAAATTCAAACTGGATCTCAAACTCTTTACCTGAATAAACAAACAAATAAATAAATAGATAGATAAATGAATACATGTATAATAAATAAATCAAAGGTGCTTGAAATTTAAAAGTAAAACAAACTCTTGTTCTCTATTTGAATACTTTCTAAAGTCCCATCTCCCTAAACTACGGAAGAGGATTAGGGCCACTGAAAAAAGAAAAAAAGTTAACCGATTTTTAAATTTCATTTCAGTATAATATGAGAAAAATGTCACAATTCTGACCGCAATCTCAGAATTCTGACTTTTTTCCTCACAATTCTGACTTTAATCTCAGAATTCTGGATCTTAATGTAGATGGGCACCATGAAGGAAGAGATGTGGGAGAACTCAGCTTCTCTGACAAAGATGTGAGTTGTTTTTGCTGTTTCCCCGGTGATGCTATTTCATTAATGGAGGAGCAGAAGGTAATTAAAACAAGAGAGCTAGATTACTCTTTAAAACAGATATAATTATGGCTTGATGTTAATACCGTATGTTTGTTAGCTGTCAGAATTCAGTCAGAATTCTGAAATTGAAGTCAGAATTCTGAGAAAAAAGTCAGAATTCTGAGAAAAAGTCAGAATTATGAGGAAAAAAGTCAGAATTATGAGATTAAAGTCAGAATTTTGAGAAAAGAGTCAGAATTCTGAGGAAAAAGTCAGAATTATGAGGAAAAAGTCAGAATTCTGAGAAAAAGTCAGAATTATGAGGAAAAAAAGTCAGAATTCTGAGATTAAAGTCAGAATTCTGAGAAAAGAGTCAGAATTCTGAGGAAAAAGTCAGAATTCTAAGATTAAAGTCAGAATTCTGAGAAAAAGTCAGAATTGTGAGGAAAAAATTCAGACTTCTAAGAAAAAAGTCAGAATTGTGAGAAAAAGTCAGAATTGTGAGAAAAAAGTCAGAATTGTGAGAAAAATGTCAGATTATGAGGGAAAAAGTCAGAATTATGAGATTTAAGGCAGATTTCTGAAAAACAAAAGTCAGAATTCTTCATTAAATTTCAGACTTCTGAGAAAAAAAAGCCAGAATTCTGAGAAAAAAGTCAGAATTCTGGCTTTTTCTCATATTATACTGAAATAAAATGTAAAAATCATCTAACTTTTATTTTGTTTTGTTTTTTTCAGTGGCCCTAATCCTCTTCCGTACTAAACAGAGCCACTCGGTGTAGGAATGGAGCTGACCCTCAGCTAACTCCGCCCACTCCGGTTAACTCCCCCTCTGACGGCAGCAGATCCTAACATGCGGGTGGGGGCTTTGTGTGCGCTGTGCTGGGAGGAAAACATAACATGTGTCAGTGACAGGCAGCGCTCAGAAAGCCGTTTGAAGGGACAGACTAGTTCCAGCTGCGCTGATTATTATCAGAGAGCCTTAGAAAAAGCGCTGCAGGAATGCACTAATGAGCACTTCTATTTTTGGATGCTATCCAGGAATTAAACGCCGGATATAATTGTTTATGGGGGCTGCTGTCACTTCCAAGTTTTCTATATTTTCCTCACGTGGAATAGATCTTTGTTAATTTTACTCAAGCGATATCCCATATAGGCTGACCGCTGCGCTCTCCATGGTGCTTCACGGGTAGGTGGCTGTAGGTGATGTAAAGGCATGTCTTTGTTACTTTTTCTGCAAGTTAAAGCGCTTGCTGATGCACGATTCATACTTAGCATTATGATTTCACAAAACATGGTGCCTTTTGTTTTTTTTTTATTTAGCAGAGAGATGGACCGGATCGGGACCACCATGCAGAAGAAGGCTGCAGAACTGGAGCGGCTGGCTGAGGTGCTTGTCACTGGAGAACAGCTGAGGTAGGTCTCTCACTCCGGCTACAAACCACATTTTAACACTAAATCTGCAGCATGAATCCTAAAACGACACATTTCATAATCGCCAATAATTCCGGTTTTTGTCTCCTTCATAGAGCAAACTAAGACATGACAGGACATAACACCCTGCTCTGTGTGGTAAACATGCTTTATATAATGGTCCCTACTGCAACTACAGCAGCACTGAACAGCCTCCCTGCAGCATGCTGAGTCAAACAAAGGCATCCATGCATGCATACCCATGTAACTCTTGTTGCTTTGTTATTGCTGCTTTCTACAGGGTTGCATAACACCCCTTTATTTGGTTGCTCCACTGATTCAGTGCCCTTTGAGCTGCAGCAATATACTGAACCCGCTAACCCAAGGTTATAACCATGCCATGCCCATATCTGCTATCAGAGAATTATATAGCAGTTGCCCTGGTAGAGTTGTTGACAGAATGAAACCTCAGGCCTATGGTACCATATGTAAAGAGAGGCTCCAAAAACTGTGGCGTTCACTGCCTCATGACCTCAGCGATGAATAGAGGCTCAGTAGGGAAGCATTGCACCAATGTCTGGAATTTCAGCCCCCAGTTGAAATCCTGCAATGAAAAAGTTTGATCCTATTGGGTGCAAATGTTTTACTTTTTTCTTGCAGAAGCATCCATTAAGAATTGCGTAATCTAACAGAGATTAATAGCTTTTCCTCCTTGCTCTACCAGGTGCAGAGTGTACTCTTCTTTAGTTCTAGAGAGCATTGCTATGCTTATAACTGTATGTTGTGTGTGTGTGTTTGTGTGTGTGTATGTGAGGGTTTCTGGCACAGCTGTGTACAGAAGCTGCCAGTTGGCAGCATCACTGGTGTCAGTGAATGGAGAGCTGCTTAGGGAAGTGGTCCCTGTTCTGGACACTTGAAATTTTAACACCATGTACTCTGTGTTTCCATAGTCTGGTTTAAGATGTTCTGTGTCCCTCTTTAAACCTAAATGTTGATAGACTTAATCTCAATAAAGATTTCTAAAAGACCATAATGTTTTCTTAGCAGTCGGGTTATCTAACCCTGAAAAGATATAATAACGAGCAGCGGTGCAGTTAGTGGTTACTGTGCTTGCAGCACTTTACAACCTCCTTTTGTCAACCGGACAGCCATTTGTCTTCTCCCATGACATATCACAAGGCTGACTCAAACAAAGAGCAATTTTGTGACTTTTGTGAATTTTTGTACCATTTTTTTAATGCTAATCTTACCATATTTCTAACGGAAATGATATGAGCAGCCCCTTTGGACCGCTTCCATATCTGTGTTGATAGATAGATAGATAGATAGATAGATAGATAGATAGATAGATAGATAGATAGATAGATAGATAGATAGATAGATAGATAGA